AAAAGAAAAAGAAATTAATTCCTGAACTCTATTGAATTGAAAGGATCTCAGTTTTTAAAAGGTGGCCATTACCAGCCACCAACTTTTCTTTCTTTTTTTCTTAATTGGAGTTACAGCAGGGCTGAGTTCTCTTTCAGTCCTACTTCATTGATTTTAAGGAGAAAATTGTCATAATTGATATGTGCTATAAATAATAGAAGGAGCATGCAATTTTCTGGTTTGCACATTATGGTTACTAAGAAGTCATCATCTGCAGGATAGCTTCTCTAGTTAACCTTTCTTTCTTTCTTTTGTTTTTTTTTTAAGACGGGGTTTCACCGTGTTGATCAGGTTGGTCTTGAACTCCCAACCTCAGGTGATCCGCCTGCCTTAGCCTCCAAAGTGCTTGGATTACAGGCATGAGCCACCACGCCCAGCCAACCTTTCTTTAAAAACAGCACTCAAGGAACACACTTCTAGTAGGCTAGATGTGAAATGAGTCTTAGGCTTTTGGCATTGTTGATTTTTTTTAAAAAACTTATCTCTTTGGGCAATAACTTAAGAAAGTAGTATTGTTTTTACAATTTAATTTACAGTATTTTATAAAACATTGTGTTTCTGTAGTCTAATACACTAATAAGTGGATTACAAGTTTGAAATTTAATAATAATTTTGTTTCTTGAGTTCATAGTTGTTTATGCCTTATGTACACATTTTATAATATTCTAAAGTATCTAATACAGTTTTAAAACACATGAGAGATTCAATATATGTAATACAGCTTTGTTTAGGAATTTTACTTAGAGAGAGAGTGTGTGTGTGTGTGTGTAAAATACAGATTCATTATCCCTTATCTGAAATGCCTGAGGCCAGAAGTGTTTAGTGTTTCAGATTTCTGTTTCATTTGGGTGTTATAATATTTGCCTTATATACGTTTGCTTACAGATTGAGGATCTCTAAACTGAAATTTTAAATGCTCTGTTGAGCATTTCCTTGGAAGCCTCATGTCAGTGCTCACAAGGTTTCAGATTTTTTATTTCAGAATTTTGGATTAAGGATACTCAGCTTTTAGTGTATTTTGTCACCTTTTATGTGTTTGTCTTTAACACTTCACTACATGCGTTACTGAGTGGCCTGAGTATGTGTCTTCTAATTGATTGTTGATATACCTTTGGAATCAGAATCTTTGGTACTCATTTATAGATTTAGAAAACTAGATAATTTATTTCTCCAATGTTTAGTCTATAAACTTGAACTCTTTTCCTGGACATTAGAGTTCCTTTGAAACTTAATTAATAGTTTTGTGTAAGGATGAAAAGTTTTTTGTGTAAGTGTTAACTGGGATTTTTGCTTTCAAGAATGACAGTATCCAGATATTTATAAACCTGGGAGCAAAGACTTTTGGCTGAAAATAAAAATGGCATGAACTTTAAACTTGGTAATGTATTAGCTTTGTAGTTTGCTCCCTGAGTGACATTTTTATATTTGTGTGTCTATTTTAACGCCTATGTTTGTTTGACACAAGGCACAGACGGAAAACCTGCAAATTTTTTTTTTTAATTTATCTTGAATTTTGGAAAAATAAGGTTTCTAGCTTAATCTAACCTTGTAGAAATTTTTCTATCTCACAGTGTACTTAATGTAGCAATAGTGATTTCCACCCCCCCCACACACAGAATTTTCTAGAGTCAACCGTCAGTCAAGTAGGAGAATTCGTTTTGGTTATATATATCAGCAGGATGCCTTTGTTTTATCTAATGCCCATTGAAAAGTGTCCTAATAACATATTTCAACAGATTGGGACATTTTTTTTAGACAGAGCCTTGCTCTGTCTCCCAAGCTAGAGTACAGTGGCACAATCTCAGCTCACTGCAGCCTCCGCCTCCTGGTTTCAAGCGATTCTCCTGCCTCAGACTACCAAGTAGCTGGAATTACAGGTGTGCATCACCAACCCAGCTAATTTCTGTATTTTTAGTAGAGATGGGGTTTCACCATGTTGGCCAGGGTGGTCTCGGAACTCCTGACCTCAAGTGGTCTACCCGCCTCAGCCTCTCCAAGTGTTATGATTAGAGGCATGAGCCCCTGTGGCCCCTGTGCCGGCCAGATTGGGACATTCTGAAGGAATCTCTGGTTTATGGGATAAAGAGATCTGTTCCTGTTGTTTTGTTTGTGTTTGTCCAAGCAGACACCTGGTATGAACTTGTCCTCTTTTAGTATTGCTGCTACCATTCTTTTCAAGCACATGTTACTTAAAAATGGCCTTTGTTGGCTGGGTGCAGTGGCTCATGCCTGTAATCCCAGCACTTAGGGAGGCCAAGGAGGGTGGATCAGGAGGTCAGGAGATCAAGACCATCCTGGACAACATCATGAAATCCCGTCTCTACTAAATATATAAAAATTAGCTGGGCATGGCAGTGTGTGCCTGTAGTCCCAGCTGCTTGGGAGGCTGAAGTAGGAGAATTATTTGAACCTGGGAGGCAGAGGCTACAGTGAGCCAAGATCTTGCTGCAGCACTTCAGCCTGGGCCAGCGACAGAGCGAGACTCGATGTCTCAAAAAAAAAAAAAAAAAGATGGCCTTTGTTGCTAGTCACTCGACAAAACTGAGAAAATTTAGTCAGTTTCTTCTGCTTATGTTGCTTAGTTATTTATACCTGTCTATAGGTGATATGAAAGTATTGCATTTGGCTCTAAGCTGCCCCCTGGCTTCCCCAATTATCGTGCAAAGTCATTTTGCTTTTTTAAAAAACTCTTTTTTTCCTGTACTGGGAAGAACCTTCCCAGAATACAAAATACTATTTCTTTCTTAAGATTATCTGTAATGTAGCTCCAGATCTGTAATTTGAGTTTCAAATATAAAGACAAATGAGCTGTTTTTCCAAAAGAAGATAATGAGGATTACTCCTTCCTCATATTCAAAATTATGTGCTACTTTTAGTAAATGTGTGAATTCTTAAGTGGAGAAATGTATAGAATCCTTTCTCATTGAATTCTATGTTCCTGGTTTTCTAATGGCACACACATACCAATTAAGTTAAATGAGTAAGAAAGAATTTTATAATTAATTTTTATTTACAACTTCTACATAAAATCTGTTAAATATGTTTTGTTGCCAGACATTTTAATCCATGTGTCTTGTGTATTAAACTCTTTTGGAGTCTTTCATAGTAGTTAAGATCCCAGAGAATAGAAATACATGTTTTTAGGATGGAATCTTGTTACTGACACCTAACAGTTTGACCTTCGGCAAGTTTGTAATTGCTTTGCCTCCTTGTCTAAGTGGTACACTTAATGGAGCAATCTTATAGTGGGGGTATTGATTAAATGAGCCTCTATGTGGTTACCATATTTCTGGCAGATAGTGTGTACTCAGTAAATGTTAGCTGTAATTCTGTAGAGAACTGAATGAATCAGTTGTGCTTTAATCTAATTATAAAAATTTGAATTTTGTAATTCATGCTAGATTGAGCATTCCTTGAGGGCAGGTATTTTATCTTATTTGCATTCCCATTTCCTGATGTAGAGGAGATAATGATTACTTACTGAAGGGAACCGCTTTTTGGGTTTGTTTGTTTTTTATGACAGGATCTCACTCTGTTACCTAATCTGCAGTGTTCAGACATGGCTCACTGCAGCCTCAACCTCCTGGACTAAAGTGATCCTCCTGCCTCAGCCTCCCATAACTAGGACTACAGGTGCATGCTCCCACGCCCGGCTAATTTTTAAATTTTTTGTAGATGGGATCTTGTTATGTTGCCAAGGCTGGTTTCAAACTCCTGTCCTCGAGCAGTACTCCCACCTCAGCCTCCCAAAGTGCTGGGATTTCAGGTGTGAGCACTGTGCCCGGCAGCAATTGGTTTTTAAGGAGGCACTTTTCTCCTGGGTTAATTGAAGTGATTACAGGCCAATTTTATTGTATTAAAATGTTTATAGAAACAAAGATTTTCAGGCTCTTGGTGATGACCTATTTATTGAAGGAAAAAAAAAAAAGTCTGAATTTTTTTCTCATTTGTAGAGCACATGGTAAGTATTTAGTAAATGAAAAGGAGTGCCTACAAGGCCAGGAACTAAAAGGTCCTAGGTCAACTCTAAGCACCCTATACGTTTTTTAGAAAATGTATTAATAAGACTTTGAAGGGAAAAAGGTGAGTTCTACATAGAACATGTGTCTTACCCAATACATATTATTGCCTGAATGCATGATGCAGAGTAAATGAAGTGTGCGGCTAATTAACTATTTTCTAGTTTGTGTTTCTAAGATGGATGTATGTATTTATGTATGTATGTATATATATATGTGTGTATATATATGTGTGTGTGTGTATGTATATATATAGTGTGTGTGTGTGTGTGTGTGTGTGTGTATATATATATACATATATGGTTTTTTTTTTTTTTCCTTTCTCCCATAGCTTTCCCCTGGTTTGGCATGGACATTGGGGGAACTCTAGTAAAGCTCTCGTACTTTGAACCTATTGATATCACAGCAGAGGAAGAACAAGAAGAAGTTGAGAGTTTAAAAAGTATTCGGAAATATCTGACTTCTAATGTAGCATATGGATCTACCGGCATTCGGGATGTACATCTTGAACTGAAAGATTTAACACTTTTTGGCCGAAGAGGGAACTTGCACTTTATCAGGTTTCCAACCCAGGACCTGCCTACTTTTATCCAAATGGGAAGAGATAAAAACTTCTCAACATTGCAAACGGTGCTATGTGCTACAGGAGGTGGTGCTTACAAGTTTGAAAAAGATTTTCGCACAGTAGGTATCTTTTACTCAAAACTGAAAATTAAAACCTGTTAGTTTTTAAATATGACGGTAGGTTTCCATCTAGCATGTTCTTTAATTCTCCCTGCACATGCAGGGGAAATATATATTCATGATTTCCTTTCACTTGGGGCATTTTAAACAGATTTATGGGATGACTAAACATTACCCAGATTTGGGCATGTTGTTACAAATAATATTTGGTAAAACTTGTTTAGGGCTGTACTACAAAGCTACAGTAAAAAGGGCACTTCGGACATTAATGAATTTGGCATTGTACAATGGCAGATATAAATGAAGCTTGCATTATTCTCGCTATTGTCCTACGTTTACATGGTTTTTGGAATATTATTCAAATGTTAGTCTTCCAGGGCCATCTCCTTCCCAAACCCTAAGTTTGGAAACCAGTGTCTTCTGGTTAGTATAATAGACACCTGAATGAAAATCTGTTACCCTTTCTGTTTTTACACTGTCAATCCTTCCATGTTCCTGTGTCAAATGGGGTGATTTGAATGGACATGGCAGGAGAACTATGAGTATTGTTTTGAGTCATGTGCTGTTAGCAGTTTGCCATCTTCTAGTCTTTTCCATTAGAATGAGAGTTCAAAGAGTGGTTTGCCAAGCAGCTAGTCTTTTCCATTAGAATAAAGAGTGGCCTTGTTTAGGGCCATTGAAATTTGTTTTTCCTGAAAATGTAAATGTGAATAATTTCTCAAAATCAAAAGAAAATACTGTTAATGGAATGTAAAGGCTGATGTGAGAGAATCACTTGAGGCTAGAAGTTTGAGACCAGTCTGGGCAACATAGTGGGACCTGGTTTCTACAAAAAAAAATTTTTAAATTAACTCGTCATAGTGGCCTGTGCTTGTAGTCCCAGCCACTTGGGAGGCTGAGATGGGAGGATTGCTTGAGCCCAGGAGATTGAGGTTGCAGTGAGCTGTGATTCAGCCATTGTGCTCAGCCTGGGTGACAGTGAGGCCCTGCCTCAAAAGGAATATAAGTAACTTAAATGGCTTATATAAGTGAGACCATTGTAATTTGGGGTAAAGATCTATAATACTGTATGAAAAGAGGTGTCATGGGAACACAGAGGAGTAATACCTAACAACTCCTAGAGAGTTGAAGAGGTTCCCAGAGAAAGTGATGTCTAAGCTGCAATGTTTTATAATAATACTCTTTTTACTAACCTGAAATAAGGAATTTAATAATTTCAAACTAATACTCAAAACTATATTATAAAGACAGGAGCTCAAGGTATCATTGATCATTCAGAAATTAATCTGTCAGTGGGTAGATTAACAAACAGTATGATCATTCCAGAGGACATCATGAAGCAGTTATATGCTTGTACCTATACATAGATTCATCATAAATACCAAAGTTCCAAATGCCAGATTGATATGGTATGTTCTAATCAGATACCATAAATGGCGTTGCTGTTGGTGACATGACCCTCCAACATGCTAAACAAACACTTGGTAAAATTCCAAACAGTAAGAAGTACAATATTCCCATGCTTTATATGGTGGTTCAGTTCCTAGCAAATTTAGTATGTGTTTAAAACTATGTAGATTGGGCACAGTGGCTCACACCTGTAATGCCAGCACTTTGGGAGGCCAAGGTGGGTGGATCATTTGAAGTCAGGAGCTGGATACCAGCCTGGTCAATATGGTGAAACCTCATCTCTACTAAAAATACAAAAATTAGCCAGGCGTGGTGGCAGTAATCCCAGCTACTCAGGAGGCTGAGGCAGAAGAATCACTTGAAAACCCTGGAGGTGGAGGTTGCAGTGAGCTGAGATCATGCCGTTGTACTCCAGCCTGGGTGACAGAGTTATACTTTGTCTGAAAAATTAATTAATTAAAACAAACCATGGGATGAATAGTTTTGTTTTTATATACACAGACATATAGGTAAAACAACTTTGTCCTTCTCTAGGCTCAGATAATTATAAATAATTTTCCTTTTGCCGCTATAAAAATGACTGACAGAACACTAAAAAATAATGCATAGATGGGATAATTCTTTGGTTTGCAGAAATGTTCACCTATTAAAGATGTCTGGTATCCCAGGTCCCTGCCCACAAAATGTCATTTTGGTCCTTTTTTTCTCCCCATCATTTAGAAAGCTAGTAGTGAGGTGATATCACCCTCACTGAGGACCAGTGGACTAGATTAAATCTTTAAGAGATTTTGACATGAAGTATAATGAAAATGTGGGGGTCATAGATTATTTTTAAATTTTGTGAAGTAGTGTAGGAAAATTATATAGTTAAGTTGTTTTTGAATGTCATCTTTTTGTTTTAAAACAGATTGGAAACCTCCACCTGCACAAACTGGATGAACTTGACTGCCTTGTAAAGGGCTTGCTGTATATAGACTCTGTCAGTTTCAATGGACAAGCGGAGTGCTATTATTTTGCTAATGCCTCAGAGCCTGAACGATGCCAAAAGATGCCTTTTAACCTGGATGATCCTTATCCACTGCTTGTAGTGAACATTGGCTCAGGAGTCAGTATTTTAGCAGTCCATTCCAAAGACAACTATAAACGAGTGACTGGGACAAGGTAGTGACATTTTTGGTCATATTGCTGCATTTACATTGTTTTATATACAAGTTATAAAATCAGTATAATAATGCTGTTTTCACCAGAAAAAGAACATGTATTTGCACAACAGCATTGTTTTTTTCTTTTTTTTTTTTTTTTGGTAAGTAAAAGAGGGTGCCATATTGCCCAAGCTAGTCTCAAAGTCCTGAGCTCAAGCAACCTGCCTGTCTCAACCTACCAAAGTGCTGGGGTTACAGGTAATAGCCACCGTGCCTGGCCAACAGACAATGTATTTTTATAAGATGTATATGTCAGGACTCAAACTGAAATTATTAAATGTTCATTAGTCAGCATCAGTTGGCATCAAAATTTCCATAATGGTAAAAGTGAATTTTTATCTATAATGAATCTAGTAATATTTTTTTCTAAAATTTAACTGAAGAGCATTTACTTGGAAGCAACTGTTCTTTTGACTTTAAAACTTTACTGTTAATATTTTGTTCTTTTTTCCAAAGCATTTTTCTTTACCTATCTTTTACTTTTTAATAGATATATGGACACCTAGCTTACCACTTGCTGAATAGGTTTGCATTTAAACTGCAGTATTAGAGAACATTGTAATTTGTTTTTACAGGATGAATTAATGTGATTTTTTTGTGTGATAACGTTAATGTTCCCAAATAGCCCACAAGCTTTTCTATAATACCTGAAATACGAATGAGAAATAAGATTTAAAACTCATGATTCTTTTATGTATTTTATCAACTTTACAGAGAGGTGAAGACTCCTGTTTAAGGAAGCAAGATTTTGGGATACTTTAGATTGATATGTGAAAAAACTGATTTTAATTTTAAAGTAGTAATTATGTTAAAATTATATTTAAAATTAATTAGTACTTTATTTTTATGGTTGTTAAAAGTTTACCTCTGTTGTAATTCTCAATGCCAAAGAATTATACGCTACTATTACCTTCTTCAGTTAACTCTAAAAGGTTAGTCTGTTAACTAAATCCATCAGTGATTCAGGGATAGAACTTTATAGAAATTTAGGTGAGACCAGAGAGCAAAGGTGTAAAGTTTAGGAATTAGATATGATTTCATTCTGGGAGCATATCCAAAAGAATACTAGAACCAAATAAATTTCTGTAGTTGACATGTTGGCCAGCTGGACATAAATTTACTCATTGTATTTATGTCTAGGACATGTTAAATGTTAATGTGTCACAATGAATTGATTTCACCCATGTCAGACCAAGTAAATAAACCTTTCACAAAATCATTTCTTGGAAACCATTTAAAATTACAAGGCCTGGCATGGTAGTTCATGCCTATAATTCTTGCACTTTGGGAGACCAAAGTGGAGGATTGCTTGTGGTCAGGAGTTCAAGACCAGCCTGCGAAACGGAGGAAGACCCCCATCTCCACAAAAATATATACATATATATTAGCCCAGTGTGGTGGCATGTACTTGTAGTCTAGCTACTGAGGCTGAGATAGGAAGATTGCTTGAGTCGAGGAGTTCAGGATGCAGTAAGCTATGATCATGGTCACTGCACTCCAGCCTGAGGGACAGAATGAGACCCTGTCTCAAAAAGAAAAAGTAAAGATTTTCTCTTTGTAATTAATATGGTACTGATTTTTTATTTATTTCTTTTTAATGCACACACAAAAATTTGTTTTTGGTGACTGCAGAGTGTAAGGTTTTGGGTGAAGACTTTGGGAGATATTTAAGAGGTCTTTCCTGTCCTCATGTTTCCACCAAGTGATTTTTTTTCTTTGGTTTATTCTTTGATCTAACAAATTGGTGTTACTAAACAATTTTTGTTGCCTTCGTTATGTTATTTCAGCACTTAGCATTAGTCATAGATTTTTTACTATGTGTTTATTGAATACATGAATGATCCACCCTTTTAGTTAAGCAAAATAATACAATGTATAAATGCAACTTAGCAAGTTTCTTTATTTTCTTTAGCCTTGGAGGGGGTACCTTTCTGGGTTTATGCAGTTTACTGACTGGCTGTGAAAGTTTTGAAGAGGCTCTTGAAATGGCATCCAAAGGTGACAGCACACAAGCTGACAAGCTGGTCCGTGATATTTATGGAGGAGATTATGAAAGATTTGGTTTGCCAGGTTGGGCTGTAGCATCTAGGTAAGTTTAACATTTATGTAATAAGTTATGGAACTTAAGTAATTCACATTGCTTATTTAGCTTTTGGAAAGCAATATTACAGAAAGTTGTAAGGATGCTTTCTCTTACCCATTTTCGGTTCCACGTTTTGAACATTGATGTCATTTAAAAATTAAGTTTACATTAAGAAATCTACCCTGAATGTACCTTGTAAGAAACTTTTTTTCCCTAATTTTTTAGTGTCCTTCCAGTGTTTCTCTATGCAAATACAAATACATATTCTTTCTTTTCTCCCCATATACAAAAGGTAATCTACCATTATATGGCGTACTATATATAGTCTTAAAGTATCCATATACCCTAGAAATCTTTACATGTTGTTGTTGTCCTTATTTTATACATGTGTAGGCCTGTGGGTAGGATAAGTTCCCAAAAGTTGGACTGCAAATGCATTTTTGAGATACTGTTAATTATGCAAAGAAGCAGTACTGTTTCACTCTTACCAGCAATAAATGAAAGTGCCTGTTTCACCAATAAAGTGCTAACTTTTGCATTTTTGCTCATCAGATGGACAAGTGGTATCTTAATGTCATTTTAATTTGTGTTTCTCCTACTAACACTGAGGTTAAGAACCTTGCATATTTTATTTTCTGTGAGTTATTCTGTGTTCTACTTTTCGGTTGGGTTGTTATACTGTTGAATTTATCAGTCTTTTCTTTTATGGCTTCTGGATATTGATTCATAGTAAGTAAGTCTTCTACATTCCAAATATGTAAAGGAATAAACCCTTGTTCTGATACATTAATGGTGGTGTTTTTATATTTAAATATTTGATTTACTTATAGTTTATCTTTGCGTATTATGTGAGGTATAGGTCATGCTCTCATTTTTTAGGTTTTTTTTTTCTTTTAGAAGGCTCTAATGTCTAGTGGTCCATCTTTATTTCACTGATTTGTGATGGTTTTTTTAACATATGCTGGCTTTTCATTATTCTGTTGATGTATCACCATTATACTTTTAGCTTTATAGAGGCATAAAAGTATGTTTTAATCTCTAGAAGGGCTAGTTTCATCCCTTTGCTTGATTTTCTATATGAACTTTACAAGCATTTCCTCTATTACAAAAAGTTATTTTTGGAATTTCAGTAAATTTACATATTAACTTAGGGACAAATGATATCTTTATAGTAAGTATTGCTGTCGAAGAACTTAGGTTGTCTTTCTGTTTGTTTAAGGCTACTTTTGTGCCTTTCACACATTTAAAGAGGCCTCTCCAAATAAAGTCCATACATTTTTCCCCCCCTAGATAGCTTCAGGACATGCATGGTTTTTTAAATCGATTCCTAAATATTTTACATTTACCGTTCTGTTATATATCAGCTTTATCTCCCATTATACTTCCTAACCATTGTTGCTTGTGCACCCCAAGTTCTTTGTCAGGGAATCCAGTGCCCTTTGATAGTGGACTTTGTCTCATTCTTCAGTAATATCTCCTGCCTCTCCCTCACATAGATGCTTCACTCTGATCAACATCTTGTGATTTAATAGATGTTTTCATTTCTCATTTCTCTGTGCATTTAACCTTTAGTTGCTTCTGCCTAAGATTTTCCTTCTGTTTTTTTCTGGCTTTTTATGGTCCTTTTACTCTGAAAAGCCCTGTCTCATACCTTCTTAACTTTTTCCTCTTACCATAGTAATAAAAGATCTTTTTTTTCTTTGTATTTCCAAGGTTAGCCTTTGTTTTTTCCTGTTACTGTTAGTGCTTCTCTTGCTGTCTTTTGTATCTAGGCCTGCATTGTCGTTACAGTAGCCTCTAGCCACTTCAGGCACTTGGTATATGAGTACCATATGTTGAAATGATGACATTTGAATATATTGGCTTAAATGTACAATTAAAATTAATTTCACTTGTTTATTTTTACCTTTCTAATGTGGCTAATAGAACATATATGAAATTCCATATTACTCATTGTATTTCTGTTGGACAGTGCTGCATTAGAGTAATTCACTGTTTGAGGGACTATTTGTGTCTCCAGCAAAAAGTTTGGTATGTCATAAATGTTTCTTGTGACTGAATGAAAACGAATTTGAAGTTAAAGCTGAGATACTTTTGGAAACATTTTGTAATTTTGACTTTGTTAATTTGTTTTGAATCAGGTTTACAAATGAAAATATTTTAGTAATCTTTGCTTTCTTATAATAACTATGCTTTTTTTGAGATGTAATTTTAACCTTAATCCTTTGAAAGGTATTACTTTATATGCTTGCATAGATTTTTTTATTAGTTTGTTTTAGCTTATCCCTATGTGTTTCTACTTTTTGGTCCTAATTTTATAAAAATATCCAGGTTGTAGATATATCTGTTAATACGTAAAATGTTGCATTTTATCAGCAGATTTGACTTTTATTTTTCATTTTTCTGCAGTTTTGGGAATATGATTTATAAGGAGAAGCGAGAATCTGTTAGTAAAGAAGATCTGGCAAGAGCTACTTTAGTTACTATCACCAATAACATTGGTTCTGTGGCACGAATGTGTGCTGTTAATGAGGTAAAAAACACAAAACTTGAATTATCAAAAATGTGAATGCTACATCTAGCAGGGCTTCTTCACTTTCCCTAAGGAGGCCTCTGGGATTGAGATGTAGCCAGTTAAACACCAAGACTCGTTAGGTATATGTTGTTGTATTACCTTTAAAGAAAGTAGCTGATAATTCAAATTGAAATAGGGGATATTTATCCAGAAATTTTTTTCAGAAAAACACGACGTAAATCCCTTCAAGTTATAAAAGAAAATTCTAAGCATAAGACATTTTGAAGTAACTACTTTTTAGTTTTTTTAGTCTTAATGTTGCATTTGGAAGGCAGCTGTGCTCACCACTGTACCACCAATGCTTAATGTTGAATATGTTGCTTTTGATTAGTGGAATACTTGGAAGTTTTCTTACTGCCCTCGGCTTCTTTACAGTGCTGCCTTGTTGCATATGGATCAAGCAGCATTGTACAGGGCTATGAAGGCATTGAGACCTGTTCTTCGTGATATTTAAGTGGTGTTTATTGTTTGTTTCAGGAAAAGTGTGAAAAGCATATACTGTTAGATTGACCATATAGTTGGGATTTTTTTGTTTGGAAGAGAATGAAAAAAAAAACCCATATATATATGCATACACACACACATGTGCACACTTATATGTATATTTAATTCTAGCTTCCTTATATAATAATAGTAGTATTCGCCCATTTAATTTTTGTAAATATCAAATACTTTAAATGGATTGGGAAGTAGGCTTTTTGATCAAACCCTTACTTTGTTCATTCACTCATTTATTCATTGAGTAAATATTTACTGATTACCAGATGCCAGACATTGTTCTGGGCATTTGGAATATATTAATGAAGAGATTGTTTAGTGTGTATTAGGTGATAAATGCTTGTTTTTAAAAAAGAGACCATCAAACAGGATAAAGAGGATTGGGAATAGGGAGAGAGTGGTAGAGGACAAATTGCCAAGTAATTGAGGGTTAAAGGAAAGCTTTATTGAAAATGTGATTCTCAGGCAGAGCTTTGAAGGCGGTGAGGGGGAAACTGTGCATGTAGACATTTAGAGGAGAAAGCTTCCAGCAGAGAGAACAACTATGCAAATCCTCTGAAATATTCTATATTTAAATCCAGAACTTGATCTCATCAGTTTTTTTTAATAACTTAAGAAACTTAAGTGTTAGTTGGTTCTTGGAGCTACTAGTAGGCCATTTAACCTCGATTGGGATAATATTTCACTTTGGGCACTGACAACAATTTGGGACCTTTGTTCTTACCCCCCTGTATGTCTAAATTTCCACTGACCAATTGAATTAACAATAACTAAGGCCATGGTTTACAGTATCCCAACTTATATACAAAGATTTCTACTCAAAAGTCAATATTGTGAGAGTCAAAACACCAGTTCCCCTATCTAAGATTTCCTAATCATAAAGGTATCTAAGAAACCAAATTAGTATGGAATCTTAGCAGAGAGAGAATGACACGTGAATCAGGCAGGGGATGGACGAAGAGTGCTAGAATCCTAGGGGTTTGAAGGCATATGCCAGTACCCCAGTCAGTATTACTCTTGAACTCTATAGAATCCACAGTTGCATGTCATTGTCCAACATGTGTTGCAATATAGGAGCCAAATTTGCTACTTATCCTAAATGCATTTTACAGTACTTACCATGGTTTTATTATTTTTTAATCACATCAATAATGTGTCTCCAAATGACTTTGTAAAGGGGCTATTTATTGGCCATTTTCAAAAACAAGTCTCACCTGAAATCATCTGCCAGGCTGTTTCTAGAACCTTTTTTTTAAAAGTAGACTTTATTTATTTTTTTAAGGACGGGGTTTCACCATGTTGGCCAGGCTGGTCTTGAACTCCTGACCTCAGGTGATCCGCCCACCTCGGCCTCCCAAAGTGCTGAGATTACAGGCGTGAGCCACCGCGCCCAGCCAGACTTTATTTTTTAGATCAGTTTTAGGTTCACATAAAATTAAGTGGAAAGTTCTGTGAGTTTGATATACCCCCTTCCATACACACACAGTCCTCCTCCATTCTCAGCATCCCACGGTAGAGTGGTCATGTGTTACAGTCCACCATGCTGTGTTCACACATCATCATCACCCAAAGTCCATAGTTTAGGATTCACTCTTGGTGTTATACATTCTGTGGATTTCGATAAATGTATGATGATGTGTCCAGAACTAATTTTTAAATACTCAGGATTATAGAGCTATATGCCAGAAATGTAGTAGGTATTGTACTAATAAAGGGTAGTTGTTTACATTTGTAAATAAATATTTTGAAACCTTTTGTATTGTAAAATCTATTAATTATTTTTACAAGTTTTTTCTTTGTTCTTTTCTTTTAGAAAATAAACAGAGTTGTCTTTGTTGGAAATTTTTTACGTGTCAATACTCTCTCAATGAAACTTTTGGCATATGCACTGGATTATTGGTCAAAAGGTCAACTGAAAGCATTGTTTCTAGAACATGAGGTATGGTAGGAAAATGTTTTGTGAATTTTAATAGCATGTTTTTTAAGAGACAGGGTCTTGCTCTGTCATTCAGGCTTGAGTTTAGTAGCATGATGATGGCTCACTGCAGCCTCTTCTAGGCTCAGCAATCCTCCCACCCCAGCCTCCTAAGTAGCTGGGCCCACAGGCGTGCACCATTATACCTACCTAATTTACTTTTATTAATGTTTTTTGTAGAAACAGGATCTCCCTTTGTTGCCCAGGCTGGTCTGGAACTCCTAGCCTCAAGCAATCCTTTATAAAATGTATGAGCCACCATGCCCAGCCTTAAGTAGAATATTGGTTCCTTTACTTCAGTTTCAGTTTTGGGGAAGAGAATTACAGTAACCTGGTAGGCACCCCTAAGTTTTTGTCTGTACATTTACTACATGCAGTTAAATTGTGATCTGACCAATTATCAGTCTACATAATGTTTTGGATTAACTTAACTTGAATCATTTTATGATCAAAGTCAAATGGCTATATCATTACAAATTAGTAACATAAGTATTCTGCTCTTAAAAGCTTTCATGTCTCATTGTCACTGCTTACACTATATAAATCATAAGGGTGTGCTCTTGTGCAATTCCACAGGGCATGCAATGAGAGTGTCAGGCACAGCCACAGGAAGTTAGTTTGTTTATTAAGTAAAGGGGAGAGGGTACAGAATTTCTATTACAGTCCTGAAAGCTTTAGTGTCTAAAGGCTACACTTTTAGAATACATATTTCAGTGTGAGCCTATAGTCCCCGCTATTTAAGAGGCTGAGATGTGAGGACCACTTGAGCTCAGGATTTCAGGGCCAGCCTGGGCAACATAGTGAGACCCAGTCTCTAAAAATAATAATAATAAATAAAAATACATATTGCAGAGGTGTGTAGAAATCAAGAATACAGATTGAGAAATTTTTTTATAATAGCTAACAATGCAGAAATTGGTAGATTTCCAAATATTATTAAACAGATTGTGCATAATTGTGTGTTCTCAAGTTATTAATATTGTATGCTAATTTAAAAGCTGCACTATATAACAGTTATTTTTAAATTATACAGGGATACTTTGGAGCAGTTGGTGCACTTCTTGGGCTGCCAAATTTCAGCTAAAGAATCAGGTCTCTCTCTCTGCTAATAAATGTCATCCAAGAGGAACTAAAACCAGAGGCATTATTACTGCATTGTTTGTCACTGGGAACCAAAGGATAAAAGAGTAGCATAAGCTGCTGAATGTTGCCATAATTAAAGGAGAGAACTTAGTAATGTGAAGTATTTCTCACTGAAATGCTTTCCCTTTTGTATATAGCCAGTGTTAAATCCTTAAATGCAATACAGCCTCTGATTATTGAGCTTCCTCTCAAAAAGATTTTTTTATTTTATGTAGCCAACATTGCAGTACTGTATGCTCAAACACAAATCTTAAAGTCTTGGAAATGTTTAGCTTATGAAAGTAATCGACTCTGAATATTTGTTACAAGTCTGTTTTATGTGTTTTGATTACTAGTGAGCAGAAAATAACATACCCTGTATCCAAAATTATTGAAATGGCAATCAAAGATGATCATTTTTATGTGATTTTAGAAATGTTAGGGCAATACTTCTAATTATTGTAGTTTTTTTAACATATCACCCCAAAGCATGTTTATGTGATCTTTCCCCATAAGTATCTTTTCTCAAATGCCATAATTAACTGAAATACTATTACTAAATTTTCACGTGAATTCTAAAATGAATCTTAGGAAATGCACATTTGGTGATGTTGCACTTTCTGTATTTTACAGGAATTAATCAATACATGTTGAAATGTTTAACATTTTAAGATTGGAGGCTTAATTACTTACTTGAGAGTCTGTCTAATGAGGTCCTGGAACTATTCTAATGGAATCTGATTTGAGTACAC